GGGCAGAGAGAAAGAGAGAGAGAATCCCAGGCAGGCTGCCCACTGTCAGCAGAGCCCAACGTGGGGGTTGATTTCACCAACAGTGAGATCATGACCTGAGCCAAAGTCAAGAGTCAGATGCTTAACCAACTGAACCACCCAGGCATCCCGAAATTGTTTTTTAGCCTTGCTGTGCTCCTGTCTAGCTGTAGAAGAGTAACTCTGACAGTATTTATTTTCCACAAAACACACTGTACTGGTAAACTGTTTTTTAAGGCCTTGTACAACATATTTGAATATCATTGATTTTTAAAAGGTGTTTCGTGTACATCTCTTTAAGTCTGAAATTAGTTAGTGCTCTAATAGTATTCACAAAGCTTAAGAGCCTGAATAGAATTAATTACTTATGATACCATCATTATGGACACAGAAGAGTGATGTGTTTTTGTTTTAAAGTTTATATATTTATTTTGAGAGAGAGAGAGAGAGAGCGCAAGCACAGGAGGTGCAGATAAAGAGGGAGAGAGAGAATCCCAATCAGGCTCCATGCTGACAGTGGACTCAGTCTTACCACTGTGAGATCATAACCTGAGCCGATATCAAGAGTCAGTCACTTAACCAACTGAGCCATCCAGGCACCTGGAAGAGTGATGTTTTTTGCAGTGATGCTATTACCCAGTATGAACCAACGAGCAACCTAAATCCATACTTGTGCTCTGCTCTAAAAAAAAAATGTGACCTCTGAACCTAGGTTCAGGTCCAAGCTCCTCACTTACTGCCATATGATATTGGGCAATTTATTTACTTCTTAACATGTCAGTTTCATCTTCTGAACAATGAGGATTGTAACAGTATCTACCTCCTCCAGAGTTGTGAAAACTAAATGAAGTATGTACTGTGTTTAATGCCTAGCACTTGGTATGTATTCAGTAGATGTTAGTTGCTCTAAGTAGCATCATCTTTTTAATGAAATTTAAATTCTAAGACCAGGCTGTCATTTATTTATGGGTTAATAAAATAAACTGGTTTTTAAAATTTTTTGCCTATCTGAGATTACTTTTTATGTAGTTCCCTCACCCCCCTAAAAGGGAAAAATTCTGAAAATTTTATGGACCAAATCTCTTAAGATCACTTTTATTAGATCCCTAGAGCAGATCTTTGCTACTGATGTAATGGACTCTGGGTTTCAGGATTTGTGGGATTAGCCAGGGTCTGAGGCCACCATGGCCTCTGGGTTGATTATGAATAGCCATGTTGACATTCCCTGTATGCCATGCAAAAATAACATTTTCTGTGAGACTCTTGGTATAATAAAGGTTGAGAGGCACTGATCTAGAGGATATTCTGATTCCTTCAACCCTTAACCTTCTTATTTCATAGCTGGCATTTGAATCTTTGGCTGTGATTGGAAATGCTCTAACCCTCCTGGAAGTGGGTCAGATTGCTGTGTGCAGGTAAGGGTGCTTTTTAATCCCAGTGGGAAAATCAACTTCCTTTTGTTACGTTGATCACACAAAAAACACTGCATTTGTTTTTTCTATCCGTAGTTTTGGAGAGTCCGTAAAGCTATTACACCCATTCCACGAGCAGTTCAGTGATTCCTCGGGTTCCCAGATTCTGCGGCTCTGCAAATTCCAGCAAAAGAAAACCAAGATTGCTCAGGTATGCTTGTATCACATGTCCTCTGAACAGCCATTCTTCAGCAGGTGTGGGAGAGACATAATTTTTAGCACTCCCTCCTCCCCAGTATGGTGTTAGGACAGGTAAAAATTTCGAGGAAACAATTTCGGGATGCCAGGGTGGTTCAGTTCTAAACCTCAGGCCATGCACCACTGGAATAGAAACTTCCCTGGCATCCATTAACAAACAGGGTGTGAACTCTTTTTCTGAGTTCCTCAAGGGTTTCTGACTTTACATCACTAATTTTCAGGCTCCCTACTCTTTGAGAGATTTGGAACTTTTGTAGGAATAAACTGTCTCCCCGTACCCTTAATCGGGCCAATTTCTCTCCCCCATTTGACCTAGAGAAGAAATGATGTAAAATAGAGCCGATGACTTGCTCAGGATGACATAAGTTCAAAACACAGCCCAGGATAATGATTCTGTCCTCTTCATTTTTGCCCTCATCTAGCCTACTTTCTTTATGTTGCACTAGACATTTTATGTTTTCTTGCCCTTTTCTGCTCAGCTATTTTCTTCTGAAAGACGACAGCTGTTCTGTTCATTTGGGGGAGTTACTGATGTCTTGTCTTCACCCCCCCAGGGGAAGTATTTCTTTTCCTCTAGGGTGTGTTACAGAACACTAGTGGTGTGTGTGCCAAAGACGCATGTCCGTGCTGGAGAATGCCAGTGCCCAGGGGTACATGCTAGCACTGCAAGGATCATCATCCCCTTTGGACGGGGGGCAGGGAGGAACGGTTTGATTGCCTAGAGATCTGAGATGGTTATTTTGATAACCTCCTGAGTGTCAAAAGTAATTTCAATCTCTGTGACAGTGGGAAGGGTTTTCGTGGTTTTCTAACGGCCTGTCTCTGGTTCTGGTCTAGTTTCTCGAGTCTGTAGCCAGCATGTTTGCAGCTGCTCAGCAGCCCTCCCAGCACGCCAGTCCAGGTGAGCTGTAGTTCTCATCTTTATCCACACAACGCTTTTCTACTGTGTGCATTCACAAGCCACTTGCTTCATGCCACAGAACCCATCTTTTAAAGTGGACGCTGCATAGGAAAAGTTATAAGCAGGAGCTGGTGAGATATTAGGCATTCATGTAATTTGTTACTCCATTTATCCATTCAGAAATTTGTGTTGAACCCATACTCATGAGGCTTATAACCACTGGAGGAATTAGATACTAATTAACTACACCTGGCCCTTGAACAATGCGGTAGCGGGGTGGGGGTGGGGGGTAGGAGCACCAAGCCCCTGCACAGTTGAAAATCCATGTAACTTTTGACTCCTCAAAAACTTAGTTACTCATAGCCTACTGTTGACCAGAAGCCTTTACCGATAACATAATTAGCAAGTTTGCATATTATATGTATCTTATACTGTATCCTTACAGCAAAGTAAGCTAAAGAGAAGAAAAGGTTAAGGAAATCATAAGGAAGAGAAAGTATATATGCAGTGCCATACAGTAAGATACCCACATATAAGTGGACCTGCTCACACACTTCAGACCTGTGTTGTTCAAGGGTCAGCTGTAGTTTGTTATAACAGAGTTAAGCATTGTGAAGGAGGAGCAATGTGTAGGATTTTAGTATAAAGAATATTTTGTAATATTTTAATAACGGAGGGAAGCAGGGGAGGACATAATTCAGAAACCAGCTAATCCAACCACGATTGACTTAGGGCTTGAAACACACCAGTTCTGTATCTAGCTCTTCCTAAAATCTCTCAATCTTGATCGTTTCATGGAGAACCTTCCTATTTGAAGCATGTCCTTCACACCTCTCAACACTCACTAAACTTCCTTGAGAGAAAGACTGCCCTCGTGCACTGTATGTAGTCTTCCATTGGAAACATTATAGGTAAACCATGAATACATACGTTAAAAAATTATTTTAATGGCCCCTTCTACTTGTTTTCTTTTAAATGAGTCAATTTTAAGAGGAGAAAAATACCCAGATTAGGTACAAGAAATTTGGAAGACCCAGTTCCAGGTTTCTGATTTAGGCAGTTTCTTCTAATGGCCTACTCAGTATTGCCATTGTTATACTTTATAGCCATGAGTATATGTTTAATTCTTGTATGTTGTTATACGATGAAATTGATCTAATGTGATAGGGAAATTGTTTTATTGACCGAAGCTTCATATGTCTGTGTAGCCTTGTGTCCGACTGTGGCATCTAATGTCCCATCTTAGAGGTCCCTTTTGCTTATGTCCAGAATTCATCAGTTTCAGATGTCTGTTTAGTGTCGGCTTTCTCTGTGCTATTAACCTATTTGTCTTTAGGTAGCTTGGAGTTGTTAACAGTGGGATCTTCATTTTGTTCCCTTCCTCTCCTGCTGTATGTTCTACCACAGAAAACGCACAGCTCCTCCTGGTGGTCTCTGATGGCCGCGGCCTTTTCCTCGAGGGCAAAGACAGAGTCCTGGCAGCAGTCCAGGCTGCCCGGAATGCTAACATCTTCGTCATTTTTGTTGTATTGGACAATCCCAGTTCACGGGTGAGTGATTACTAAAAGCTGCTTTTGGGGATAAAGTGGGGATACCCTTCATCATGTTCTATCTGAAATATGGCCTAGGTCACACCTTAACTCCTTATGTTCTGCCGGACACTATCCGAGGCACTGTATTTTTTGTTAATACTCCCACTTTACAGTAAAGGACAGAAACACAGGTCATAGGTCAAGAAAGCCAGAATTCGGACATTCCAGAGACCACCCTCTTAACCACTTGCTGTGTCAATTCCTGCTCTAGTGGGTCATCCTTTCCCTCTGTACTGTGTCATTTCCGGTACTGCAGCCTTGATGATGGCCCTTGTCTACTTCGAACTATACACCAGCCCTTTCCAGTTACTGGTATCCTAGCAGTGCCCTTCTCAGAGCAGGAAGCATCAGTTGCTAAGTGAAAGACCCCCACAGGACAGCTCTGTTCCAGGCGAAGCATGGTCTCTGCAGGTCACATTAAGGCCTGGATAACAAGTAGGAAGATTTAATGTGAATTACTCCAAGTAGAATTTGGGAAATTGGGTTTTCTGGTCTCTCCCTCTTTTTCAGTGTCCATTCTCCTGGAAGGGGTGCTCAGAGATCTGCCTCCTTAATGAAAGTTCTGCAAATTGTTTCTTAATAATAAAAGCTAATTTTATATTAGGAGTTAGATACAGGAGACCTAAAAACTATTAGCAAAAGAGATCAGGGAAGAGCTAGCCAAGGATACTGGTTTGGTTTTTATTTCAAAATGTCTCCTGTTTACAGGATTCTATCTTGGACATCAAAGTGCCCATATTTAAAGGACCTGGAGAGATGCCTGAAATCCGATCCTACATGGAAGAGTTCCCGTTCCCATTCTACATCATCCTTCGCGATGTGAACGCGCTCCCCGAGACGCTCAGTGATGCTCTTAGGCAGTGGTTTGAGTTGGTGGCAGCCTCTGACCACCTGTAGGGAAGGAACACAGTCTAAAGTGAGACTTTACACCATTGTCAGACTTTGGTGCCTCCAGCCTGTTGCTCCCTCTTTTGGACAACTGCTTCCGAACTCACAGCTCTAAAATGTTATTTTATCTTAGATCTGATTTATAAAGATTCATCTAATAGCTGCAGACAGTTTTTATTACAATGTACACTTTATCTTATAATGTGCTTTCAGAGCCTGGCCAGCCTCGGCCTCTGCTGTTGCCCCGGCTACAGCCGTAACAAACCCAGGGCAGCGGCCGGTGTCTGGACCTGGAAGCCCCGGCCCAAGAGGAGGCTAGGGCCCAGCTGCTGCCCCCCTGGAGGAGTAGCTGCTGGGAGAAGGGGACCGTCCCAGTCCTTTGGACAAAGGACCACAGGCAGCTGCCCTTGTGACCCTGCTCTGAGGCTCCGCCTTGCCGATCCCACGGTGTGTATCTAAATGCCGTCAAGAGGTGGAGACAGCTGCAGCTTTCTAGAGGCTCGAGTGCGTGTGTTTTGTCATTGTGCTTCATGTGCAGGGAACTACCTTCTCTTTGAGGGTTAGGGAGGTCAGGGTGTGTGTGCTCTTACAAAGCAACCAGATAGCATAGGAGCCCAGGTAAGCCGAAAAATGACCCCCGGGCTGTGTAAAAATGAAGTGGCTTTTCTGTGCCGTCCTTTGCATTTGCTGCTGCAGGAGACTATGCAATGATGGAAAAGTGATTTTCCCTTTGGTTATTTCATTCTCTCAGCGCCACAGTCCCTGGTGTCGTAGTAATTTATTTCTTTAGTTCATTTTTTTCTTAACCGTTAAGGGGAAGAATATTCCTCACACTGCTTTCAAGCTGGACTGAGCCAGTCTCGTTCTGGAAAAGAAATGCCGTGTTTAAGAAAACTAAGTACTTTTTTTTCCCCCCAGTTAAACTACATCAATGATTTTTAGACAGTTTTTACTTGGCCAGAAAGCACTGATTGAATACTTGAAATTGTTGCTGTGTTCTATTTAAGTTGTCAGAATGTCGTTTTGTAGACAACATGCCATCACGTAATCGTCTATCTCCTGTTTGTTTTCAAGTTACACTGTGAAGTTTGCCACATTTTTGAGGTGGTCATCGAAGACACAGATTGCTTGTTGTTTAACCAAGTGTCCTAAAGCATGTACCTGAAGTTATATCATTTTTTATTCTAAAAAGCTATGCAGCTTATATTCTGAAAATTATTAAATATATACCACTGTTGTAATTTGTGACCAGTTTAAGTGTTTGAGAGGTGGAAACTGCAGAGAGTGAGTGGGAGAGAATCTGAAGCAGGCTTAGTGTGGAGCCCGATCTCACAACCCTGAGATCAAATCCAAGAATCAGATGGACTCACCAAGCATCCCTGCAACCATTCTTAATGGGACACAACAGGTGTGTAAACGGTGTGCTAAGGGAATGATCTTGTCTGCTGGATCAGCGGTCACTAGCTTACGCTGGACCCACCATGGACCCACCACCTTAGTGGCTTCCTGAAATAAGGGTTTATTTCTTGCTTGTGTTTCATGTCCATGGTGGGTGAGCTGCCCACCATGCTCTGGCCTTGTGGCACAGGAAAGGGTAAGTTGGTGGAAAACAATGGCTTGTACAGATTTTGCTCCAAAATGACAGGTTTCATTGGCCATAGCCGTCTATAACGGGTCTGAATGGGAAAGACACCAACATTCTGATGTGGTCTGTCATATGTACCTTTGAAATCGGACCATCGAAACTGAAGCCTCCCTGCTGATACCCAAGAGTCTCGTTTGCAGCTTGTGCTGTGATGGGAAACGTGGGAGCAGTCCCAGGAGACCTATCAGGAACTGTGACAGGGTGAGGGTAAGCAGCATGATGCACTTGAGTCACTGAGCGGGAGTTAGAGGGTATGCTTGCTCTCACTTGGAGCTTAACCATTATAGCTGCCTTACGTAGTCTTCATCCAAACCCCAATCTTGTCTGGTCTTTTATCCCGTCTTCCCTTCTGCTCTCCTGACTACACTGCACCTGGACACTCTTATTTTAGAGAACCCCAAGCAGGCTCCATGCTCCATGTGGAGCCCCCCGCATGGGTGCCCACAACCCTGGAATCATGACCTGAGCCGAAAATCAAGAGTCCGATGCTCAACTGACTGAGCCACCCAGGCACCCTTGGAGTGCTTTTAATCTGTAGTCTGGACTACTTTGGTGGTAGCCCAGACAAGTCGCATTGCCTGCTTCATCTCATAACATCCAAGAAAGAGATCATGCTTCTAGGGTGACCTCTCCTGTCCCTTCTCTCCCAGAATCCCTACCACAGAAGGTTCTGGTTACAGCAAATGAGAAGTCCTGGAATCTGCTAGCATCCTAGGTGTCCTTTGGAATTTTCTTACCTAATGTGCCTTTCTGGAAACACCTACCTAGCTCAGAATAAGCCCTCAGGTGTGAACCCTGACACCATCTGTAATATTGAATTGGACTTGCACTCCCACTTTAGGCAGGAAGACCTAAGACAGGGGAGCATCTATGACTCATGACAGTATTTCAGGGTCTAGCATGAGTTCATGTATAAAAATGTCTTTTCTAATTTATAGATTCAACACTATCAATTTTAATAAAGATTTTACAATGATCTGTGGGGAAAGGATATAAAAGATTCTTACAAGAAACTACAGGGGAGTAGTTCTGCCATTTAATAAAACATACTAGTCCTAGGTGAAATAATCCTGAACAATTTGTTTAGACCCTAAAAAAATTTACCATATGGGCATCATTTATTTATTTAGAGCACATGAGCCAGGGGAGGGACAGAGAGGAAGAGAGAATCCCAAGCAGGCTCCATGCTGTCAACTGTCAGCACAGATCCTGATGTGGGGCTTGATCCCCTGGGATCACGACCCAAGCCATTATCTAGAGTTGGATGCTCGATTGAGCCACCCAGGTACCTCTGAAGAATGATCTAATAGTGTCCAAATTATAGTTTAGGAGCTGGCAAAAATACATCCACATCATGCCATAAATCAAAATTAAAATGTTTACACCACCTAGTTTAAAGTTAACCAGGAAGACATAAATACAGAATTACAAAGCTCTGAAGGGGAAAAGATGAAATTGAGAAGGCTTGAAAGAATAATACATGACTATATAGAAACTTCTGAAAGCTATATAAACAGAAGGACTAAAATTGCTTTTAGTTTTGAGAGAGCACAGGGGAAGGGCAGAAAGAGAGGGAGGGAGAGAATCCCAAGTAGGTTCCTGTCAGTATGGAGCCTGATGTGGGGCTTGATCTACCGAATTATGATCATGGCCAGAGCTGAAATCAAGAGTCAGACACTTGACTGAGCCCCCCAGGTGCCCCCAAAAGGACTAAAATTTTTAAACAGGCAAACAACCCATATAAAATTAGAATAAAAACCTTGATCACCATAAATGGACCAGTCATGACAATTCATAAAAGTGGCAAGGGATATTTAACTTCACTTTTGTAAGAAAAAAAGGAGTTGCTATTGCAATTACACAAAACTTCAAAAGTAGTCACAGCATCACCCATACAACAATGCCTGGTAATGTTCAAGAAAGCTAATCATCAAGAGTATAGGTGGCAGGTCCTGTTTCTAGTAGGACTCAGGTCTTGCTTCACTTTACAGATGAGGAAAGAGGCTGGGAGAAATCAAGTTGCCAGAAAAACACAATTAGAAAAGGGGACCACACCAAACAATTCCAGCAAGTGACACAATCAAGTAAATGCTCACTAAACAGGTAACCAAATGAAAATTTCTGGCTATATTCTAATTTAGAACAATTCTATTTGACAAAAAATACAGCAAAGATTCACTAATCCTACTTACATAAGGGCAGTTATGTGTTGTGGGGAGAATAAAATTACAAGGAAATAAAAGCTTAAAAGTGTGCGCATTTTCAGTGTCTTATTAGTGATACAAAATTGTTAAAACGCCAATGGGGCAGCCATTTAAAACCTCTTAAGAACTAATGTGAAAATTAATAAAGGGAGACTCACAGGAGTCAGGAGGCTAGAAAGGAAAGCTGTACCACTCAATGTCCCTCCCAGGAAGAATTGTCCATTACAGACTCAAAACAGGTCAATAGAAAATCCTAAATTACAGGCGCCAACAGGGAAAAGCTGGAAGAGGTGCAATGTACAAGACTTCAACCTCCCCTGAAACTCAGAAATCATCACCCTCAACTCTTATTTTCCAATGGACTTTTCAAAACAACCCCCCTAAACTTTCTTCTTCATAAAATAAGATCCCCCCCCTATGTTCATTGGGCTTGCCTATGGTTTTGCCAGAGCTTGTAGGTACCCAATTGCGAATTCTCTATTCCCAAATAACCCCATTTTTACTGATAAAATAACCTTTATGTTTAAGATTAACATAACTAATGGCAACCATGAAGATTACCACCATGAGGAAATTGCTTCAAACAGAAAACACCAGGATGGAACAGCAAAAAAAAAAAAAAAGTAGATTTTAAACATACCTTCATTATTTCTAACTATGCACGCTTAAAAAGCTCAAAAGGAATACACTAAATTTTACCCCTCACTCTCAAACTTCCATTTAATAAAAACTACAGTGCCAGGAACTGGGCCAGTTGCCTTGCCACTCCTTTTATCACAACTATTTGTGGCACAAGAACTGTAATCCCCTCTCACCCAAAAGAAAATTTAGTCGAAGACAAAACTGTCCAAGGTTATACATAGCTCATTACTGGTTCCAACTGCTGGGGCTTCAGTTTAGACACACTGCAGGGGATTTGGGGGCCAAGTGTAATCCACAGGCCGTATCCCAGGAAACCGAGCTCCCTCCCCCCACCGCCTGCTGACCACGCCCCCACTTCCGCTCCTGCGCATTAGAGCTGTAGGGGAACCACGCTGCCTGGAGGACATGGCTGCTTCCAGGTTACCCCCGGCGACTCTAACACTAAAGCAGGTAACACCTGTTCTCGAGAGCCTTCTAGGGCAGCTTCCCACGGTCTGATTTCAATTATCCGTCTCTCCCTCCACACCCCCCTGCAGAGTGGGGCTCGGGGGCGGCTTAGCCCTCCGGGGAATTCTGACCCGGTGCTCACTCCCCCTGAGATTGGCCCGGCTTGGGGCGGGGCTTCCTGCTGCGGAAGCTGGGGTGGGGGCTGACCTCTGGCCACGGATTCGGCGGGCCACCCGCCAACCCGCTGCCTATCTCTTGACGCTTTGGCCACGGGAAAGATTGCTCTGGCTGTTGTACTGAGCTATTGTAAAGAATGAGATTACCAAAGGATTTTAACAACTGCATTGGTTTAGAAAAAGTGCTGTTACAGTAATCACAGGTTTTAGTAACTGGTAGCCCTTTTTCTGCCCAGTGGTCATCTTTTGACGTTAAAGATTCTTAGGTTTGACAAAGGAGTAAGCAAACAGCCCAAACTTTTTGCCTTCTTCTGAAAAGGAAAAAGTTTTTCTTTGGTCCTCAGTTTTGAAAAAGGCAAAGAAAAGTCATCTGTTTAGTTTGGTTTCCCAAAGTAAAGCCCTCTGGGCTGTAGGTTTTGCAGTTGTATTGACATTTCTCCTCCATTCTACAGTTCATGAGAAGGCAACAAGTTCTACTTCTCTACAGAAGGATTTTGCAAGCAATTCGGCAAGTTCCAAATGATTCTGATCGCAAATACCTTAAGGACTGGGCAAGGGAAGAATTCAAAAGAAACAAAGGTGCCACCGAAGAGGTGAGAAAGAGATCACAGGCAGGACAGGCCCTGACCATTTTGTATTAATTGGCATTTTTTTTTTAAAAGATGAGTAGACATCTTGTAGTATGTCACAGAGATGATATATCTTCGTCATTGCTTTTAATGTTACTATTTTTCTACCCCAGTGATATTTTAAATTTCCTAATCTTTGCTCTACAGTAGCATCACCTGTCTGTTAACTGGACATATATACACACCTGAAAAGATTATAAATAAGACAGCATGATGGTTTGGGAAGTGTGATGACTAGGGTATCTGAAAGCATGCCAGACACTGTGCACCCATAGTTGTCAGCTTGGAGCTTTCCTGATACCCAGAAGTTCCAATTCTCAGTATTGGTTCCTGACTAACAAATAAAATGATAAAGTACAGCTCTATTTAATCAGGTAGAACAATGACCAGATTTCACTTTCTTCTACAGGATACAATCCGGATGATGATTACTCAAGGCAATATGCAGCTCAAGGAGTTAGAAAAAACACTTGCTTTGGCAAAATCTTAACTGTAGCATTATCCTGAAAGATTTTCAAAGTCTCCATGTATATTGTTGAGCTGATTCGACTCCAAGATAGACAGCCTAACACCAAGTCAAACTGTACAGTACTTGGGAAAATACAGAACATGGAGCATGGCATGTCAAAGAAAAACACATCAGAACAATTGCCTTAACACTGAAAAATATACTTTGTATTCTGAAAATGTTTTTGGATATGTCAGCAGTTTAAGCAGCAAAAACCAGTACAGGTGGTCAATGCAGAAGGTGATCCCTACCATTAACTATCTGGGAAATGCAAGTCTAAACCACACTGAGACACTACCATATCAGCTGAAATAACTAATTAAAAAGATAATAACAAATGGTGGTAGAGATACAGGAAAACTGAACCTCTCACACATTGCTGTGGGAATAGAAAATGGCACAGCCACTTTGGAAAACAGACTGTCAGCTGCTTAAGAGAATAAATTCGACAGTTCTGTTCCTAGGTCTGTAACCAAGAGAACTGAAAACCTTTCTACAAAAAAACTTGTACAGGAATATTCACAGCAGCATCATTCATACCAGCCAAAAAATAGAAGCAATCCCAATGCCCATCAACTGATAATAAATATGATGCCTATAGATTTAGTAATAAAAAGGAATTAAGTACTGATACATGCTACACATGGATGAACCCTGAGACCAATCGCAGAAAACCACTTATTGTAGGATTCCATTTACATGAAATGTCTGAAAGAGGCAGAAAGAGGTGGTTGCTCAGGGCTGTGGATAGCCTGGAGAGGAATTTAATGGATATGGGGTTCCTGTTCTGGGTAATGAAAGCACTCTAAAGTTAGATTGTGGTGTTAGATGCGCAACTCAATATACTCAAGTCCAACGAATCGTACATTTTGCATGTATGGTATGTGAATTCTGCTTCAACAAAGCTAGGTTTTTCTGATTTTTTTTTTTTTTTTTTTTTTTTTTTTTTTTTTTTTTTTTTTTTTTTTTTTTTTACTGATATACAGCAGTACTATGCGTCAATTAAATAAGTCAATAAAGCTGTTTTAAGAAGCAGTAGGAGATTTATGATTCGAAGCATACTGACCTCAGGAGATACCCTGGACCTTTCTTGAAAAAAGTCCTTCTGTGTTACCCCTCAGGGTTGTTGAGGTAGGTTCTTCAGATGTGTTATGATCTCATAGCAGAGGACTCTCCGAAAAGTCACCACTGGGAATCTAGATCTTTGTTGGAAAGAGGAGAGAGAGAAGCCTCATGAACACATTGAAGCACTTAACCAAAAAGAAGAGACAACTTCTGGATGAAACTAATGCAATTACCTTAGCATCCACAAAGAAAGAAGTAAAAGGATCAGGGAATATCCTTGGTGCATTAGGTTCTCCTCCAGTGACAGGAAGAGAAAGAGTTTTAAGAATACATTGAAGACAAGAAATTGACCTGAGCACATTTTGAGAGCAAAATGTGTAACACAGTTTAGTGAAAGCTTATGGAAGAGGCTGGATTGACAGTCCTGCAGACTGACCTCTGTTCATTTACAGAACAGATCTAAAAAATTAATCCAAGAACCTGACCAACACCTGGAAAATGTAGGACAAATTTTGCAGAATGGTTACCTAGTACTGGATTGTGTGCCAAAGGCAAGAGAAGCAGATAGTGGCATTTGTCAATGACTTACATTATTGCCAGGGTCCACCTGACCCTTCCATAACCTCAACGCCTGCAAGACAAAATCATTCTTCAACAGGGTAATCGAATTCAAAATGCATGAGCTAATTATCAGGTTTGTATATAGGTGTACACATTAGTCAACCTATCACAAGGCCATGTGATGAACCAGAAGCACTTGTGAAGTTTCTAAACACAGAATACTTTTCTTTGTACAGCATGATATACACACTCAAGTTAGGCTGTCTCTAATAAATCTAAGATCTTGACACTAAAAATCATCCTTTTATGAGGTGTAGAAGTCAGTGACCTGGGTGACGTTTTTACTAGCACTGGTGTATGTCAAAGATGTAAGTGCATTTGTGGTTTAAATTTGCAAGATGCAAAAATGCCAAGAAAATCTAACTTGGGTTTGTTTTGATTGTTTAAATTGGGCAAAACACTGCAAATTTTCATCTTCCAGAGGCTAGGATTTTTATAATCTTATATAATGACAAGACTTTAGCGCTAAATAAATCTTAGCCTAAACAACAACTTCTCCTCTCACATATGGAACCATGCTCGTTAAGATGTTGGCCAGATTAGAACTGCTGGTGAAACACATTTAGCATCCTTATCAGTGTTCTAGATTAGACAACAAATTACCTTTTTGGATATTCCCTATAAACCATATTCTTAAAACAACAAAAAAAAGTTTATTTGAGAGAGAGTGAGTGCATGCAGGGGAGGGGCTGAGGGGGAGAGAGAATCCCAAGCAGGCCCCACACTGCACACTGTCGGTGCAGAGCCTAAAGTGGGCTCAGTCTCACAAACCATGAGATCATGACCTGAGCCAAAAATCAAGAGTGAGACGCTTAACTGACTGAACCGACCAGGCAGCCCAACCATACTCTGGCGAGTATTCAAGTTTTGTACCTAAGGTTTAATTTTCAGATGTTTGGATGTTTAGTTTATGTATTTGAACTACAGTAAGTCAAATCTTTATATTAAAAAAATACTTTTTTTTAATACAAAAGCATTCTAGCATGAGGAGAAGTGGCTAGGGCTATTTGCATACTGACTGTCCCTACGTCATTTCCTCCTTTTAAGTGTGCCATCGCGTAGGAAATTCAAAACCAAGGCACAGGCATTGCTGTGGATGTGCCTGCAGAGCAAAGGGCTTGAACATTTGAGGAAAGCAGAACATTCTCCTTGGTATTTGCATTATTGTAGACACACCAGCAGCCATGCAGGAGAGGGGGGAGACCCACACTTACCTAACTTGTCTCTTTTATGGAAGAAAAATGTGGCCAAACAGAGGGACGCAGCTCACGTCTACTGTGGGAAAAAATTGGGCTTACGTAGAGTTAAGGTCCAAGCAGGCTCAAAAGCAAATGTCACTTTGCCAAACTAGAAATCGCCCAGCCGGTTTCCTTCCTTCAGTCAGGCATTTAAGAAATTCTGTCAGAATTAAATTTACTATTTGTGTTTACTATGTCGCTTTTTTACCCATTCTGTTTTGCATTAGAAAAAGTGTTGTGCTGTTTCTTAGGTGTCTCATGGATTTAATGTTAACATTTATTGTCATGGTATTTTGACAGTATTACAGAAGAATATTTCCCTTTAAAATAACAAAAATTTTTCTTACGCATAAGTATTCTAAAAGGTCAGTTTTGTTTGTCTTTAAATCTTATTTAATTGATTTGGCTTTTATATCACAAGAAGAAATGTATTTAGCTTTTATGAACAGTTTTGTCAAAAATGTTATTTTGCCTGCACACAATTAAGAGGTTTTGTTCTGTTCAAACTGTTGACCTTTTAGAAAATACTAAGCAAAACATTTAAGCTTGCACTAAGAAGTATTTCCATATTATGGGCTTCTGAAAAATTTATTTTTCATGCAGTGCATCTGACCTCTACTTTGAAGCAAATGTATTTACCAGAAATCACACTTCTATAGAAACAAGGTAAAATGTAGCTGGGTGAAGGCACTCTTTCTGGGAACATAAATTTGGTCAACCACAGAAACGAAAATGTACAGTAAACAAAGCAGTCATACTTGCATTTTTAAAATAAGGATTTCAATATCCATAGTGTTGAGAACCATATTTAATGCTTGGAAGAGACAAATTCAAATTAATAAAAATATTAAATAGAAGACAACATATCTCTGCAGTATCAACGCTTGACTGAAAAAAAAAAAAGATTTAAATGTGAAAACATCACTTCCTTTATTTTGGGCCCCCAAAGTCAAATGATTAGAACTATATTCAACCTAATCACAGATATTTACTATATTCAATGCAATAATTCACCAACAAAAAAACCCCACTGCAATATTATACAACTTTTCTGTGTCTTACATCATTTCCCCATAGCTATTGAAAGCTCCAATCTCTGTTTCAAACACAACCCACATGACAGCCAATAAATTAATAGTTTTGCTTCTTTGGAAAAGTACTATTGTGGCATTTGCTCCTTTTAGCAGATAGCACAAGGGAAAAAAGGAAAAATACACATCAGACCCATAGTTGAGTTTTTGACAATACTAAGGAACAAAAACCCAGTTGTTTAAAATAAGCTATTGCAGTGGCCTTGAGATGCTGCCATCTCTCTGCGTTAGGAGGCAGACTGATCCTGTTTCCTCACCTCTACTGGTTTTCCGTTCTAGTAGAGAAAGATCCGTGTAACCTGTCAGACTAGGTGCCTTGGACCCTTCTCAGTCCTCCCTAGTCTCTTCCCTGTGACTTTGGCAAAAATATCCAGTTCACAATGGTAAGCTGCCTGCTTCTGATGAGTAGGGGTTGCATAATCAAAATACTTCCTACCACAGCACTCCGTAGTCTAGATAAAATTTGTCTTCATTTCTCAACAAGGATACTCCTTGAGATAACAGCTATTTTGGTAAGTGAAAAGAACTCCTGCTTAGACCACAACTTCCTGAACATCTCAGGATTTCCTCTCTCAGTATTTGGCAGTTCTTAAGAAACTGATGTATATTGAGGAAAGCTGAAGATTTCAGTGATGCTGGATAAGGGAAAGATTTAAAAAACTGAAGGTACCATCTAGCTCTGCAATTCTGTGGTTCTGCATTAGGAACGGAGATGAGAAAAGGAAAGTACCTCTACATTTATCAGTGCAACAAGATCCTCTGGGGGAGAATCAGACGTTCTTAACAGTAGCTGAGGAACAAGACTAACACGCACATGAACGTAAACTTGGGAGAATATTAAATTGATTCCCTATCCAGGTTGTGTAATGGTGACCTACATCTAGATCTACAGATTGTCACTGTTAAGAAAACAAAAACTGAGCTTGTTAGGCAAGAACAAAGGGACTAAAAACATACTTTGTTTTTCTGGGTGTTCCCATGTCAGGAAATCATTTTTTTTTTGGCTCTGTGAGCAACATTTTATTCAAACTTAGAGACAACAGTTTCTTAGTTCTGGGGTTAATGGAAATAGAATTGACATTTCTTTGCATACATGGAATTTTGAGGAGATGAATATAATCAAGGGGCAAGAAGCTTAAAAGATAACTAAATCCAAAGTTTCAACATACCCAAGCTACTTTTACAACTTATATACTCCACAGAGGAGAGGAAAATCCTTGGGGCTCCACAAGATGGGGAATTGTGGGGTCTAGACTGAGTTGACAATTTTTACCTTGACATAAAGACTGCAAAGCAGTGGGTAACTTCTGAGGTTCATCAATGACCGTACACAATTAGAAGTGAAATACTTTTATGAAATAGCCTTATTTCTTTATAAAATGTAGACTGAGAAGCTCAAATTTAGAAAGGTACTCTTGGTTAACTGGGTTTGATTATGGATAGCTTATAGAAGTTTCAGGTGATTGTTAGGTGAATGCTTTTCCATTAATCTGCTTTAAAATTGGTAGGATTAATCAACTGTAGTGTTTCTGTATTTTGACTGAAAATACAGAAATCATGACCAAATGATTTGAACCTTTCTCATCTGAGTTTATTAACAAATATTCCCAGTGCTAGTAGCCAATTACTGATCATTTAAATACCCTCTGACTGCAAAATACTTTAACATATATTGGATCTAGTGACATCATGAAAATCTTTTTCTCCTCAAAATCAGTTTGGTAAGTTTTCATCTGGTTAAAAGGTCAGCACTTTAAGAATTAGGAATTCAAGAGAGGATTCAGCGCATCTCAGCCATAGCTCGTACAGAAAGATGCTCTCATCTGGGCACCACAGGAGTGCTCACATGAATGACTAAAGTTCACAAGGGATTAATTTTTCTTCCTTTTGATTTATGTTATTTCACACATCCTGAATTTTAGGCTTTAGGCTTTACACATCTTTCTGTTTCTTAGCGTGGCTCACTTAATCTGAGCTTTTGAACCTCAGATGAACCCAGACCGAGGTTTCAAGTTTGTAATGAAACCTAACACAAAGCAAGCTTCCCCTGGCTTTGGTGGTCACTGTTGAAGTTTCATAACTTCAGGGCGCAGGAAAGCGTGTGCCTGGCACATTTCAGCAATTTGACTTTTTGTTTTTAAAGGCAAGTCTGCTACGTGCACAAGAATGGACATCTTGGGCACAGCTGTTCTATAGATGCAAAAGCAGAAATCATCAAGAAGCCCTTCTCAGGCCACTTCCCAGATTCTAATTTTCCTTCTGCACTTTAGTCCTTAGTTTAGCAAGTTCTTCTTCTAAACTTTTAATATGTTCCTTCAGGGTGGCCTTGTCTTCCTGGGCTTTCTGACTGGCTTGGCTTCGCGCTTCTTCAATCTTCCTCTCATACCACTTTTCCATCTGGGTAGAAACAGCCTCAAAAAAATACTGGGTAATCTCCAGAGCCTGGGAGGTGTCTCGAACGTGAGAGGCAGTCTGCTCACTGCCCGCTGCCGGGGGCGGCTGCCCACCGGTGGTGCCGGGTGCAGGGTGCTGGGGCCGATGCCTCGTCTGCCCACTTTTCCCAGACTTCTTGGTTTGGGTGCCTCTGTCAACACAGGGCCCAGCCTGCTGATCACACTTGGCCACCTCTTTCAAGGGTAGCAAGGCTGTCTGGACCTTGACATTCCTCAGTCGGGACGCGGTACAGTCTGAGGAAGACAGCTCCTGCTGTAGTCTGTGGGTAGCAGTGGAGTTGAAGGCCTTTTCCTTGGGCCTAACCACCTGAGGAGAACTGTCAGAAGCCGCTACTGGACCTGCAGTGGCCACGGACTGATCCACGCCTAGTTGCAGAAGGAAAACACAACTCAGAGTAAATCCACGTTCACACAGTCATGTGGCTATGGGCTGGCGTTTGAGAGTCCTGATAATCCCGTAAACCATCAGGCCTTCTCAATCGCCAACCACCATGTGCAGCTTCTGCTCTGCCCTTCCCTTCCACTTGCCCCTGGTTATCATTTTGGCTTGTCAGGGCTTTCATGGGTAATGATGTTAACCACACTGGTGGCATCTAAGCCAAAAGCAGCTGCTGGCCTTTCCTTTAGCCAGTTTCATTAAAAGGCTCTGGGTACCATTTTATGATTGCTAAGGATGACAGCTCACCAAGTGTCTCCCAAACAGAACTGGGCATGTACTGAGGGAAATAAATATACCCATTCCCTGGGGCGCCTGGGTGGCTCAGTCGGTTGAGCGACCGACTTCAGCTCAGGTCATGATTTCACAGTCTGTGAGTTTGAGCCCTGAGTCGGGCTCTGTACTGACAGCTCGGAGCCTGGAGCTGCTTCAGATTCTGTGTCTCCCTCTCTCTCTGCCCCTCCCCTGCTCATGCTCTGTCTCTGTCTCAAAAATAAACAAAAACATTCAAATTACACACACACACACACACACACACACACACCCATTCCCTAATTTCTGGGCCTTTTCCACACCATAGGCCCAGTTAGTAGTTGCTTGACCCAAGCTCCAGTTTGGAGAAGTGGTCATATTCTCCATACCCAGAGCTCCAGCCAAGCTCCATAACTAGACCGATCATGAAAAATTTGCCCAGGATTTCTCCAATGTTACCACAGTTCCAGAAATGGTCTATGGTAACAGAACACACTTGACATGAAAATCCCCCATGGAGGCCTAATTACAAAGGCTCTGATTATCCTCAAAATTATCATCATGGAGTATAATCACTGTGGCTAATGAATAGATGCTTTGTCTGAAACGTCATGTTATCTAGCACCTGGGGCAGCTTTAATACACGAACTGCTGTTTAAGGAAGTTTTCCACAGTTGGACAAAGGCAAAAGGCTGATCAAAGAGAAGAAAGGAGAAGGAAGAACAAGGGCCAGAGCAAGAGACCTGCTGAGAAGACCAGTGTCCATTCATCAATCTTCATCTTTGGGGCCCACTCTGACACCATCAACATCGTACCTCAAACACTGCTGTCACCAGTCAACAATCCTTTTACTCTATGTTCTTTTACTCAAATATTCTTGAGCACTTAACTAGGAGTGCTTTATCACCATATAGAAACTGAATACACAGCAGTAAGCAAAATATGTCCTTGCCCCTACAGAATTTACAATCCAGTGTTTTCCACAGACCTATCCTAGGTCCACAGGATACAGCAAAGAACAATATCTGGGGGTTTTACCACCTTTGAATGGAATGGCTCTCTCTGCACATGCGTTACCTGTAGACGACTCGCAAGTAGATGGTGCAGATTTGGTCCTAGAGGCCCTAGAATCTCCAGAAAGTTTCAGCTCCAGATTCTGAATCTTTAACATGCACCAGGTTTTTAATTCGTCAACCAATGACATCTAAAAAGAAAAACAAACGAATGACAGCAAAAAAAAACCACCAAAAAACAAAAAAACAAACAAACAAACAAAAACAACACACACCAGATGAATTGGATCCATGGTTATGAAGTAAACCACCAAGAGTGGGTTTTTCAATTATGATAGTTCGAGATACCATCTTGACCAGCCTAAACATTGTGAACTAACTCCCCCTCCCTTCCCACAGGCCACACAGCCTTCTCTGCTTGCCCTCTGTAGACCAGGATGCACATAGCACCAATGGTGATAGTTTCTATAATCTTCACTGAGGGACTCAGAGCTACCTTGAACACCCAAAGCTTCCCAAATCTTACAAATCAAGAATGTCTGGCCGCTTAGGAGCATAAATTCTCACACACTCAAAAAATACTCATTTTATGACTGTTGTCTTGGGTAGACCACAAACTCCAAGGGCAGGAACCAAATCTTGTTCAACTACAGAGCAATACCCAGCAAATGTACAATACATAGAAATGATTCAAGGCAGAGACCACATTTTCCCGGTGTGTTCCATTAACTGTTCTGTCTCCACCTATTACCAGAATATTCAGCAACAAATGAACTGAATTACATGCTCTTTCCTATTAACTTCATTTCAGAGTTAAAAAAGGACACACTACGTAATAAGAATGCTATTAGGGGTTCTTGGCCTCTGGGTTTTCAATGATGGGTCTGAGTCTTAACTCAGTGGAGATGTGTGGTAAATCCCCAGTTAAGGGCAGATCCTGGCTCTCACCTGTCGTCTCTCCCCCTCATGCTTCTCTGTATCTGAATGCTGTTGCAGGCGGTTCAGGCACTCTGTTCTCTCTGCTGACAGCCGCTCAACCATCAGCTTGTCCAGAACACGCATCTAGGATTCAATGAGCAAAAAGCAGAGGATGGAGATGATCTAAGGATGGGCCCTGGTCTCTTGACCTCTGGGGCTCTGGGGGACCAGCAGGGACCAGTGAAAACAGAGGCAAACCTCAACTTCTTTTATTCTAGTTTCATCCAGTATGCATCCAACTCCTGGCTTTTCACAATCCCTGAGCATGTTTTTGTATAAGCCAAGGCCTCTTTCTTATTGTTGAAAAGACTGAACATGGTAAATATACAACTTGAGCCAATGCAGACCTTGTGCATAGAAGGATTTTTGTAGGTCTTACAACATTATTTCCAAGACTATTATTGAAAGGAAAACTATTTCTAGAAGTATGGAGCTGTTCATTATTTTCATTACCCTTTTCAATTAATTTTTAACACCCCTCCAAGCCCTTAAAATGTTAGTAGCTGCCCATGAGATAGCAAAAGCAGAATGCTCAGGGCTTTTACCCAGTGTTCCTAGTGAATACATCCCCTCAGTGCTTCACTGAAAGTAATCAAAGCAAGTGTGAAGAAGGGTGAGGAAGGAGTACAAGGGGAGTGCTCCAGAGAACCAATGATGGTCACTTTTCAGTCACGCCCTCCTGGATCCCCCCCCCCTTATCTTGATATTTCCCATTAGGACCCTACACCCAGGAAAGCCAAACTTTCACTGCTTTGACAAGGTCCATACCAGGGAGAGAGACTTTGTCAGCAGGGGCCAGCTCACAAGGGTTGTTCCACAATCAGATGTTCAAAACACAAACACAAAGAAGGGCCAGTTCTGGAGATGTGAGGAGGGCTCACAGGTGAGCTCTTCTCCTGTCAGGGACACACATGATGTTCAAAAATCAAAAAAGCAGCAGCAGTTCTGGAGATGTGGTGAGCACCTTCTGTTTTGTTTCTTCGGCCCTCGTGTTTTTTCTGTGAGCTGCTCTCCCGTTTTCTAGGATTGGCCTACTCCACCCACGTCCTTATCCTCTGTCAAGAGCAACTGTGTTGACATACAGCTTTGTTCTGGGGCACGGCTGATTGCTTCAGGCATGGACACCAGACTCATGCCGCACCAGAGCCCATGCCAGAGTCCTTCACCTAGAACTGGGAATTAGGACTAAGGTTTTACACACCCATCTGTCACCCTCCTTGAACTGAAGCAAGGTCCTTGAGATGGTTGGTCCAGCACTCATCTAATACACTCCTCCCTGGGCTTAGGCCAGCTGAAGTGGGTTTTATTTACAAAACAGTCTTAACTAATATACGATGGCACTAGGAAAAGAGTTCTTAAATGTGCTTTCCATGAAGGGCAAATAGCAAATAAACCTAAAACATTCTACCTCACCAACAAACAAGGAAATAAAAATTAAACAATATACTTAATCGATTTGGCATAAACTTTAAAAATAATATTAGTGATGGCAAAGGTTTGAGACAGAGACTCGATTTATATCCTATCCTACCCGTAGGATATAAATTCATACAACCTTTCTATTTAGTAGATTACTAATATTTATGAAGAGATTTAAACATCTTAACTATGGACCCAATTATCCTAAAAAGGAGCAAATAACTTGAGAAGCAAATGTTTATACACATAAGTGTTCATCATAGCATTATTTATAAGAGTAAGAACTATAAGCAACTTTAAAGTCTAACAAAAAGGAAGACATAGAAAAATGCTTGGGATATCAAATTAAGTGAAAAAATCTGGAAGTAAAAATACGTGTAATTTAGGGAGGTGGGTGTGGCGATGGGTGAAATAGGTGAGGGGGGTAAAGAATGAACTTGTGATGAGCACTGGGTGATGTATGGAACTGTTGAATCACTATATCGTACACCTGAAATATAACACTGTATGTTAACTATACTGGAGGTAAAAATAAATAAATAAGTAAATAAACCACATACTAGACAAAAAACAAATTATATGTGTAACACCATACCCAGAACAGTACATCGCCATTAAACAGCATATTGAAATAACACACCTAAGACATATTACTTAATTTCAATGTAAGCTACAAAGATGACCAAGGCTCTTTGCGTCCAAGATAGCTAGGTAGGAAGACTCGCTAATCCTCTCCTCCACAGACTCACCAAATCTATACCAATTTAAAGGAGAGTTAATACCTAGTCTTTCCAAACTGTTCCAAAAAACGGAAGATGATGGAAACCTTTCAAATACATTCTATATGGCCAGCATTATCTTGATACCAAAACCAGATAAAGATGCCCCCAAAAAAGAAAATTACAGATCAATATCTCTTATGAACATAGATACAAAAAAACCTCAACAAAATATTAGCAAACTTCAACAATACTTCAAAATGATCAATCACCACAATCAAGTGGGATTTATTCTGGGGATGAAAGGATGGTTCAATATCCACAAGTCAATATGATACACCACATTAACAAAATGAATAAAAATTCTATAATCATCTCATTAGATGCAGAAAAAGCATTTGACAAAGTGCAACATCTGTTCATGATAAAAACTCTCAAAAGAGTGGGTTTAAAGGGAACACACCTCAAAATAATAAAAGCCATATATGACAAACTGACAGCTTACATCATACTCAATGGTAAAAACAAACAAAACAAAACAAAAAAAACACCTGAGCTTTTTTCCTAAGATCAGGAACAAGAAAAGGATGTCTACTCTCACCACTTTTATCCAACATAGTACTAGAAGTTTTAGCCACAGCAATCAGACAAATAAAAGGTATCCAAATTGGTAAGGAAGAAGTAAAACTGTCACTGTTTGCAGTTGACAGGCTACTATACATAGGAAGCCCTAAAGCCTCTACCACAAACCTATTAGAATACATGAATTCAGTAAAGTTGCAGGATACAAAATTAATATACAGAAATCTGTTGCATTTCTATATACCAATAATGAAGTAGCAGAAAGAGAAATTAAGAAAACCATTCCCGGGGCGCCTGGGTGGTGCAATCGGTTAAGCGTCCGACTTCAGCCAGGTCACGATCTCGCGGTCCGTGAGTTCGAGCCCCGCGTCGGGCTCTGGGCTGAATGCTCAGAGCCTGGAGCCTGTTTCCGATTCTGTGTCTCCCTCTCTCTCTGCCCCTTCCCCGTTCATGCTCTGTCTCTCTCTGTCCCAAAAAA